CGCGCGTCGCTCGCGCGCGTGGCGCGGGACCATCCGCGGCGACGGCCGACGCCCGCCCGACGCCCGCGCGCGGTGGAGCGGTAAGGAAAACAGACCGCTCACCGCGGTCACCGCGGCGGCGGCGACGGCTAAGGCGGACGCGCGTCGAAAGCCCGCGCCCGCGCCGGAGGACGTCGTCGTCCTCGACTGAGCGCGTCGCCTCCGAACGCCCTCACTCGCGACGCGCGTCCGACGTGTAAAAGTACATGACGCACGCACACACAATCGCGACGACGCAAAAGAAATCGTAGTCATCGACGACGACGAGATTCGAACTCGCGCGTGCGTTGCACAAACACTCGGCTGCATGTCGCCGGTTACACCAACCGTCGTTGGCAAATCTCGTATTTTGTCCTCGACGGTGCGTCACGTATTGAAGCGACGCACACGCCGTGTAGCAGGCGTTCCCCTTAACCACTCGGGCACGTCGTCTAGGTGATGCGAGTCTCGGACTCTGAATACGAGTGTGATCGATACATGTCAACCGACAAACGACGCACCGTGCGTGCGTGAAAGCTTACGGGTCACGAAAGACCCGCGTGTGTGTATACATGTACGTATATACCCATATAGGATACATACCGGTGTGTACGTGACGCCACTGTGTGCGACGCCACGATCGACGCGCGCGCCCGCGCGCGCCCCGCGAGTCGCCCATGCGCGCGGACGACCTCTTCGACGTCGCGGCGGACGACGCGCGCGCGCGCGCGGTGGCCCGCGAGCTCGCGCGCGCGCTCACGGAGCGACGCGTGAACGTTTTGGGTGAAAACCGTCGAGCATCGAGCGAAAAGGCGACGACCGCGACGACGGCGTCGGCGACGACCGCGCGGACGACCGCGTCGCCGTCGGCGCGGCGGGACCTGGACGCGGCGCGCGAGCGCATCGACGCGCTCGAGCGCGCGCTCGTTGAGGGGCGGCGCGCGCTTGGGGAGGCGGCGCGCGCGGGCGCGCGGGCGGCGACGCGACGCGCGCGCCAAGAGGCGGAGATCGCGCGTTTGCGCGCGTGTGCGAGCGCGTCGAGGCGAGACGGCGGGGCGAGGGGGGCGCGGGTGTCGACGCGCGTGGTCGAGCCCGCGGCGACGCGCGGTGACGGCGCGCCGGAGACGGTTGGGGTGGATTATCATCGCGCGGCGATCGAGGCGTTCGAGCGCAAAGTCGACGCGCTCGCGGATGAGATCGAGCGTCTCCGACGCGAGCGCGCGGCATTAACGGCCGCGCTCGAGGCGAGCGAACATCGAGGGCGGATCGGCGCGCGAACGCCCGAGGCGGGATCACGCGCGGCGGCGGCGACGACGACGGCGCGCG